CACTTGGGGGGAGATAAATGGAACAAACTGTATACCATTTCCCCACAAAGATATGAGCAGCAGAACAATGGAGAGGCGAAGGAAAAAGTAAAGGAAGAAAGGGAACATCAGCACGAATCAAGAGAGCAGAAGAATTAGAAGCCCCAGCAACGGCTGGGGGGGGGGGAGAGAAAGGAATAGCCACGAAAACGACCAGGACGAGCACCAAGCATCGGCTCCTGGAGACAGACACAAAGGGGCAAAAACCGCGAAATCAGAAGTTGGAGTTCGAGGAAATTGGCGTAATAACCTCGAACGTTCCACTGAAGAATGGACAACGACGAGAAGAGAAAGGACAAAAACAGAGAACAAGGAAGAAACAAAGGCGAAAGAGCAACAGAGCACGTTAAAGAATATCAGGGTTAGGGGGCATGGGTAAACTGAGCAAAGACGGAGGGAAGGAAATGGGAGAACAGATCAGAGGTGGGCGGGCGGGGTCCGGAGGAGGAAGAGGAGGAGACAACGGAGAGGAGCAGTCAAGGACAGCAGCAGGAAGAGGGGGAGTAGAAAGAGAGGAGTGCACCTCAGCAAGAGCAGCAACTGAAAGGGAAGCAGGGGCCAAAGAAACCTCCATAGCAGGAACAGGGGGCGCAATCACTGAAATGGGAGGGGAAGGAGCAACAGAGCCAGAAGTAGGAGCTGAGGAAGAAAGCGAAGCCTTCTTACCCGCCGGGGAGGAGGAAGGAGAGGAGCCAGGCTTACGCTTCTGATTTAAAGAGACTGGTGTCCCAGCAACTACATACCGGACAACGGATTCCAGTGTCTCAACAGGAGAAGCTGAACGAGAGCACACACGACGGCCGTTAGGAGAGCGATGGACATTCGCCTGCACCGACAGGCGGTGGGGAGAGCGATAGATGGAGGAAGAGGATGGGAAGGAGGATCGGAGGGAGACGAGGAAGAAGACACAGGAGACATGCCAGACCGGGTAGAAAGAAGGGGAGCCCCAGACAGAGGACCAGGAGGAGGACCCCTCGGGACAGAACGCAAAGGAACAGAGGAGGGGGCAGTGGGCGTATCAGGGTCCAAGGCCCAGAAGCGGTTGTGAGTCTGAGGAAGGAGGGAAGGACGAGGAGAGGAAGAGCGCAACACACGAGCATAAGAGACGTTAGTATAAGGCGGGAGCTGGCGAACCTGGCGCCTCGCCTCAGGAAAAGATAAACGCTCCCGGTGCTTCAGGTTGAGGACGGCTGCCTCAAGCTTGTAATGGACACAGGCACGGGAGAATGTAGGATGGGCCTCACCGCAGTTGAGGCAGCGAGCTTGGGGCACTCCGACTTAGAGTGACCTTCACCCCCACACAAAGGACAGAGAGAGACAGTCCCAGAGCAGCAGAGGGCACCATGCCCAAACCTCCAGCACTTGTTACAAAGTCGAGGAGAAGAATATACTCCTGGACAGAGCACCTAGCACCAGCAAGAATGACAGAGGATGGAAGGGTCCTACCATCAAAGGTGATCTTCACAACGCGAAGGGGTTGATGGCGACGACCACGAGGGGGACGAGTAAACGAGTCAACCTGGAGGACAGAATGGCCTTGGGCATCAAGGATATCCCGAATATCATCGTGGCAATCCTGCAGATTCCGAACACCGGTTGCAACATGGGGTGGGAGGAGAATAGTGCCAACACTGGCATTCATCCGAATGTTCTTGGAGACCCGAACAGGGATCTAGCCAAGGCAAGATAAGGCAGCCAAGCGGGAAGCTGCATCCTGAGAAGGAGCAGCAACGACACGTGTACCGAGACGAGTGGGGTTGAAAGTAACAGACGCATCCACGGAATCTACAAGATGTCGATGGAGGGAGAAATCGTCAGGAGGCGCAGAATCAAGAGGGAGGAGATCAAAGTATTTGGCCCATGAAGCAGGACCAAACAAGGCCTGATACGCATCAGCACGGGAAGGAATCGAGCGAGTGCGGCTGGGGCGCGAACGGCGTTGAGAACCCCCAGAGAGAGAGGGGTCAAAAGGCGCAGTAGTCACAACGAGAGACTTAGCCGCACCAGGGGACGAAGTGGTCACCACTGGGGGCTGGGGGCTCGACCCAACCACAGAGGAGGGAGGGGAGCTGGGGGAAGAAGTCAGGACGGTCAAAGGAGGAGCAAGGTCGGGGCCCAACGCAGCGGGAGCTACAGAGCCTGGTCTTCCAATACAGGCCGATTCGGGGGCTTGATCGCCCACCCCACGAGCCTGAGAGGGTACAACAGAAACATTCATCGACATAGAGACGAAGAGAAAGAAATTCATCCACGAATGTGCCCCCATACCCACCATGGAGCCACAATTAGAGGCAGGACACCCAACAGGAAGCTATCGCCGATCATGCCGGGGGCCCCCTAGGGGTGCGTCGTGAGTATACGCCCCACAAACGCCACCTTAAGAACCGTCAGTCCGTCGAGATCGGGTTCAGCGACGAAAGGGGGGATTGACAATAAAAGGTTCCCCTCGCTCGAGACGTCGGGTACAACAGTTCTACGGGTGCAAGAGTATGCCTCCCCAAGCACCTGGGCGTCAAAATAGAAGAAGTCCAAAGAAATAATCCAAAACAAGCAAAAGGCCGGCAGGAAACGACAAGCAGATAGGAGAAGAGGTGGGAGAAAAACGAAACATAATGAAAAGGAAAAGCGATCTGGCATAATTAGAGAAGACAGCAGCAGGAGTGCAAGGCCATAAAAGGACAGAGGACTGTCCCACGGAGCATCACACTCCGGCAGCCGACCACGAAGCCCCCTCACGACGCCAAAAGGGCCGGATGGGGAGTGCCGGAACACGGGGTGAAAAAGTGCCTCCTTTCATTTTCATAAAAGTATATATCATTTTAAATATTCATACTTTTATACTCTAAGATGTCTACAAGAATTGGTTTTTGTAAAAAAAAAAAAAAAAAAAAAAAAAAAAAAAAAATAAAAATAAAATAAATACACCCATTTTCTTTAAAAAAATTATATATATATATATATATATATATATATATATATATATATATATATATATATATATATATATATATATATATGTCGTACCTAGTAGCCAGAACGCACTTCTCAGCCTACTATGCAAGTCCCGATTTGCCTAATAAGCCAAGTTTTACTAAATTAATATATTTTCTCTAATTTTTTTCTTATGAAATGATAAAGCTACCCATTTCATTATGTATGAGGTTAATTTTTTTTATTGGAGTTAAAATTAACGTAGATATATGACTGAACCTAACCAACCCTACCTAACCTATCTTTATAGGTTAGGTTAGGTTAGGTAGCCAAAAAAGTTAGGTTAGGTAGTCGAAAAAACATTAATTCATGAAAACTTGGCTTATTAGGCAAATTGGGCCTTGCATAGCAGGCTGAGAAGTGCGTTCTGGCTACTAGGTACGACATATTATATTAAATATATATATATATATATATATATATATATATATATATATATATATATATATATATATAACTGAAAACTCACACCCCAGAAGTGACTCGAACCCATACTCCCAGGAGCAACGCAACTGGTATGTACCAGTACAAGACGCCTTAATCCACTTGACCATCACGACCGGACATAATGAGGTGATAGCCGAAGCTATTTGAACCACTCCACCGCCGGCACTCGGATGGTAATCTTGGGCATAGCATTTTACCAAATCACCTCATTCTTTGGGGCACACGTGAGGAACACAAATGCGCCCCAAAGAATGAGGTGATTTGGTAAAATGCTATGCCCAAGATTACCATCCGAGTGCCGGCGGTGAGGTGGTTCAAATAGCTTCGGCTATCACCTCATTATGTCCGGTCGTGATGGTCAAGTGGATTAAGGCGTCTTGTACATACCAGTTGCGTTGCTCCTGGGAGTATGGGTTCGATTCACTTCTGGGGTGTGAGTTTTCAGTTGCATATTGTCCTGGGGACCATTCAGGCTTGTTCGCATATATATATATATATATATATATATATATATATATATATATATATATATATATATATATATATATATATAATATAAATATATATATATATATATATATATATATATATATATATATATATATATATATATATATATATATATATACATACATACACACAGACATACATACTGTATGTCTGTACAATGCACATTTACAGCATTGTACAATATGTAATTGAAATGACCAAAGGTTAAGGAACGTAAAAGGTAAAAATGTAAAATGTAGAACTTGCAACACATACTATGAATAACCACAAAATGTGGATTATATTATAATGAATATACTTTACTGTACAGTATTGGAAAATATAAATGTAAATATCAAAGATTTTAACTTAAAATTATATAAGTTAAAATATCAATGACTTTAACAAAGATAAAGATCAAAGATTTTAACACAGATCAAGTTTTTTTTATCAAAAATAAGATAAAAGATTTCAATAAAGATAAAGATAAGATTAAAGATTTTAACAAAGATCAAAGGTTTTAGCAAAAGTAAGATCAAAGATTTTAACAAGCACGGAATACTGCAAGGGGGAATAAATGACTGGATCCCTTAGATTATGAATGGTATCATGGAATAAAGAAAATATTAAGCTGAAAATAGTTGTTTAAAAAGTACATATACTGTAGTACATAATAATTTGTGTGTACAGTAATAGGAAAAGGTATGATAGTATAGCTAGGACAGGTGGAGGATATTGCTGCAAAAGTGAAATACAGAGATGAATGAGGACAACTTTCATTTTCTACATATCCTGCCACAAGGATACGCAGAAAATGTATGTAGATGAAAATGTTTACAGTGGGCTACCTGTAGGTGTCCCTACATGACCGCCCTCAAATGTGTGTTCCTGAATGAATTGGTTTTGGTGATGGATGTTAGTCTTGAATATTGTATTTATTATATTAAACTATAGAACACTAATGCTTAAAAGTTGCAGCACACTGCAACTTTTTAACAGCCCCAGAGGCAACCAATTTATTAAGCTTTACTTTGTAATGATTATTAATCTTTTATTAAAAGCATAAATTTATAAGAATTTACACACTGAATTAAAAATACTACATATGCCCACACATCCCACATTAGTTTGTACGTTACAAGAAATGAGGGCAAACAAATACTTCTAATCAGATTTTATCTTTTTTGTGGCTGGTTCTTCAATTTCCTCCACTTTGGTCTCCTTTTCATCTTGGAAAACTGGTTTGGGTTGATTTTTTGTGTATGCTGGAGTAACCCAGTATGGGTTTTCTTCTGCATCCTTGGCATACTTCAATAAGGCTTCTCTTGGGTCACCTTCTTCATGTACCTTATTACGAAGACCCATATTACGAATGATATATGATGAGAGTGTTGATCCACCGGCTGAAACACGTCCTCCTGACCCGGCTTTTCCAACAGGTAAGTCTGGTTGGCGGGACTTTACAGGATCTTTCCTGTCTCTTTCTTCTAATTTCCGTGTAGACTTGTGTCTCTCTTCACGGAACATTGGCAATGCATGTGGTGTAATAACTTGCTGGGACACTACCACTTCAGCCTGCTTGGAACGCTTCCTGTGCTTACCGACAACTAAAATTGCACCATTATGTGAAACTTTAGGTTCATAAAGAAGTCGTACCTTGCCATCTCCACAACCAAGCATAATCTGGTTTAATCTAGGGTGCCAAATTATTTTCACAATATGACTTGTTCCAACTTCTAGCTCTTTCACAATTTCCCAAGTATTCCGATTATACATTAATAATTTCCCCGAAGTTTCCCCTCTGTTCAGAGAAGTTCCAGTTACTAAAATCTGGTCGTTTGGACTAAATACACAGTCAGTCATTCCAAATCTATTATAAAGATCGTTGGCAATGTGTACGGCTTGTTTTGTATTACGCATATCCCATAATTTTAGAGTATCATCGCCTCCCCTTGTGGCAAAACCTTTGTTGTCGTAAGCAAATACTAATCGTGAAGTGTCACTTCCTCTTGTGTGGGCATTTTTTATATTTAATGTCACATTAACAAAATTCTTGCGGTGATCCCACATTTGTATGGAGCCATCGTCGCATGCACATGCTACCAACAACCCATCTTTGCTGAAGGCACAAGTAGTTGGTACAGTTTTCAGGCCATTTAATGCTCGTGCTTTGATAACATTCTTCTGAGAGTGTGGTTGACTTGTGTGCCACAAACGGCAAGTGCCATCTCTTGCAGATGTCATAAATTCTTCCTTATCCTTTGGATGCCATGCACCACAAGTTAATCCTGCAACGTGCCCTTTTGTTTTTGCCATATCGTGCAAGTACATATCACCCCTGGCGCACTCAAATAATTCTATGCCATCTCTGTCATAGACTTTAGCCTGTGCAGATCCAGGAACAACCAAAACTTTATCACCGGTACAACTGTATTCAACACTATTGACTGGGTAGCCATCAGAAGGACAAAAGGATCTAAATGCTTCTCGTGCTTGATCCATGCCTTGAAAATCCCAATACCTCACATCATAATCCAGACCTCCTGTGACAAGTCTAGTACCTGATGGATCAACAGAGAGCCCGGACACTGTTTTTGTGCCATGTTCCAGAACCAGTTCATGAGTAACAGGAATTTTATACTCTTCTTCATCATCGCTCTCATCATCTTCACTTGCCTTAGGCATGCTTAAACTGGGAGGAAGCGGTGGTCCAATAAAGTCCTCATCTTCACTGCTATCGTCATTTCTTATTGACAGAGAAGATGGTGTTGAATCTTTTGACAAGGGCAAGTCATCTGCCTTACCCTTATTGTCTACTTGCTTGGCTTCCAATTGAAGTTTCAGTTTTTCTGAAAGGTAAAAACAATAAATTTAACTATTGCTGTACTTGCATCCTTAAATTAAAAAAATAAAACAGCGTTGAATGTAATGAAACGCCATTTTCTGGGCGAGTCTTGGAGGCTCCCCGGAGCTATCCATGGCTGATATGGATACCCTAACTATTTTGCATCAGTTGATGTGGGTGGAGTTCTAGGCCTACCGGGGACCACGAGCCAGAACCTGGCCCCCTCACAGAGGCACGGGGAGCAATGGCCCATAGAAATGCACATGTGATTTGGAGCATTCTATATCTGCCATCGACTGGGACAGGCACCCAAAAAGGTAAGCGCCACAAAACAAACCTCTATTCTGGTTAACAACGAAAATCGACAAACGAGTGGACAAAACTCCCCAAGAAAAACGAACAAACAAGCATGACGTCACACGTCACACGCCGCATGTCTGCGCAGCTCCCCCCTCCCAGGGAGGGAAAAGGGGGAGCCCCAGACCCCTGCGCCGGCAATCCCCGCCCCAGTTCCTCAGCTGATGGGATAGTGCATGGTCATGTGGCTCCAGCTCCAGTCTTGTCTCAGTGCTGTGACTTGTTTTCAGTGCTGCTCTTATGGTGGTCGTGTGAGCTGGGAGTAATATTCTCAGGTACTCGGGCTGCATGTGCTTAGGGTCACCTTTTCTGAGTGCCCTGTAAGTACCGCCCTTGGGGCTTGGGGTTGCCTTCCACAAGTCACCTTGGGTCTGCCTCTGTTGGCTTATCGCTGCTTGGCGTTTGGCCGCCCCGAGTGTTTGGGGGGTTTTCTCCCTTATTTACCTTGGGGTAAGTGGTAGTTATAGCACTGGTAGAGCGCAGGGTAATGCGTATCTAGTTTTCACCTATAACAGCGGCCGGCTCTGTTCCCTCTGGGTATGTTGTCCACTTGTGTGGTTTTCTTTTATTTTTGTTTTTGCCTGGTAGGGGGGTCTGCCTTGTGTCCCCCCCCCTTATATTAGGGTCGTTTGTGTGGTGGCACCCCCTGCTTTGCCCTCACGGGTGGACACGTCCCGTGGGTTCAGCTTTAGCAGTTTGCTTGGTAGTTTGGGGCGCCGGTTAGCAGTGCCCTGCCTGGGATAACCCTTAGCCGACCCAGTCTAGGGGCCCTGGGAAACCCCACGGGGGCTTTCGGGTCCGATAGTGGAGACCCTTGCTTCCCTTCTCGCTTTATGTGAGTTAAGGGTTGCTCTGTCCTTTTGTCTCAGGGTGACTCTCCTTGTTTTTGTCTCCGTCATGCTGCCTGATGGGTCGGTGACACATTCGACCCTGAGTCCTGCGAGTTTTGTTGCTTGTTCGTGACTCAATTCACCCAGTCTGCTGATGAATTTCCTTGGGTGCAGGCAGCTCGCGCGTTGCAGGGTAGGTTGTTGCAACGCGCTTGAGTTGTCGCTTCCCCAGATGCCCTGAGGCTGCCCCACTTTATGTAGGGACCCAGTTGACCAGACCACACACTAGAAATTGAAGGGACGACGACGTTTCGGTCCGTCCTGGACCATTCTCAAGTCGATTGAGAAACAACATACTTCAGCCACGTTATTGTGACTCATCGCCTGCATAGGGACCCAGACTTGGGGGTTTTGGTCGCTTCGGCCTTGGTTCCATCCATGCCCCCTTGTTTTTCCCCTTCGGTGGTTCATTTTGTTCCCCCCCCCTCCTGCTTCTGGCCCCTAAGTATCTGAAGACTTCGGGGTCGGGGCGGTGTTAAGAGGTTTCTGAGACTTGGGCAGTTTCGGGGGTTGCCCCGTCTGGGGTAGCTACGGAGGCATTCGAGTCTGTTCCTCCAGCTGATGCTCCGGGGTCTGACCAGTGGGCCCCTTCTCTTCCAGCTCTCTCGGCTGCCCCGGCTTTTTCTTGTGAGGCTGGGGCTTTGGAGGTTGACTCGGCCCCGGGGCCTGGCGTAGAGGCTCCTGGGGTTGGGGGGGGGAGCGGCCTTGGGGGTCTTGGGCTCCATTGGACCCCACCTGGATTTCCGTCCTTCTGAGTGGGGCTTACTGTTGCAAGGAGTGGGGTTTTCTTTTCTCCCCTCTGCGTACGATTTGGACTTGGGTTCTGCTCCTCCCCGGGTTCGGTTTCGTGTCCCTGTGGTTTCTTCGGTTCCGTGTTTCGGAGGTTTTCGGCTACCCGCATCTCTTCGCCTGCGGTGCGGTCGGCCTTTGTGGCTTACCTCCTGCGTGACCCGGAGTTTGCCTCCGTAATGGTTCCTTCTTCGTTCGGGTTTGGATCGTTGTGTCCTTACTGGGTGCGTTGTGCGGTTCTGGGTTCGTCCTGGCATGGAGACGGCTCCTTGTTTTCGCTGGATGCATGGGACTCGTTCTGTCGAGCCCACACGTTTGAGTGGCGCGAGGCGTTGACGGTGGTCCGGGTTTTCCTGGGGGCGATTTTGCGCATATTAATGAGTGTCTTTTCGCTCCTGCCCTTCTGCGGGATGTTGGTGCAGGGCGGCTCTTTGTGCGGGTTCCTTCCCTGTTGGCTGCACTTGTGGCGGTGGAATTGCGTGCTCGTGGCTTTTTGGTTTCGGTCCTGCGTTTCATTTCCCTCCTGGAGCTGTCTTCGGATTGGCTTGCGGAGGATGTAGAGGCGCTTGGGGACATTCCTGGGTCTGGCACCTTGGTTTCTGCTGCTTGGGCGTCGTCTGCCATGTTGAAGCTCCTGTGCCGGTCCTGCGGGAGGCGTTGCTATGGTTTTGTTGTGGGGCATCAGTGCTACCCCTTTCGTTGTCTCCCCTTCGGGTTGTATCTGGCACCTCATGTGTTCACACGCCTTACCCGGGTCGTGGTGGCCCGTTTGCGGCTGTTACGTGTTCGGGTGTTGGCTTACCTCGACGACTGGCTGGTTTGGGCTCCCGGTCAGTCCGCGTGTCTGCTCACCAGGGAGTTGTGTTTTCCCAGCTCGCCGGGTTCAGGTTCCTAGTGAACTGGTGGAAGTCCCGTTGGTTCCCTCCCAGGTTCGGTCCTGGCTGGGTATTGTGTGGGACTCTCGGACTGCTTCCTTGTCTCTTCATCCAGAGTCTCTCCTTCCACTGCGGTCTTGCTTGTGTCTGTTTCTGGGGGGCTCCTAAGTCACCCAGTGGTTGCTCGAGGGTTGTGCGGGAGCCTGAGCTTCGCGATGTTGTTCTACCCACTGGGTTGGGTTTGGCTTCGTCGGCTGTTCTGGTTCCTTCGGAGACGTCCCTTCCGCCTCTCTCGAGATCGCTGGGTTCGATCCCGGGGGCTTTGCGTTGGCTGCTGCGTCGCCGGCTTCATCAACAGGTTTTCGGGGTTCAGTGCCTTGGCGCCTGCCCGAGCCCTCGCTCGTTGTGTTCCCAGATGCTTCGTTGCTAGGCTCCGGCTTTGTGACCAGTGCTCACCAGGTCGGCCAGGGGTGGTGGGGTCCGTCCTTCCGTCAGGTCCACAGCACGGTGCGGGTGTTCGCGGTATGGTTTGCGCTTCGGAGGGTTCGGTCACCCGTGGATCGTCATTCCGGCTCTATTCGGACTGCTCCCTGGTGGTTCCTTGCCTGAACCGAGGGGGTTCGATGAGGTCCTTGGCTCTTTGGGGTTGGTCACTTCACTGTCCAACGTCCTGGCGGTCGGCCTGTCCAGGTTCGTCCCCTGTCCACGGCATGGTCGGTCGACGCAGGCTCCTTCCTTTGGCTCTGCTGGACGTTCGGGCGTCCGGAGGTGGACCTCTTTGCGTCGGCATGGTCGAGGAGTCTTCCATTTTCCATGGCGCCCCCTCCCGACTGTGAGGCTGTCGGGTTCGACACCTTTCGGCGGGTCTGGTCAAGGTGGGGATTCCTGTACCTCATTTCCCTGGTTTGGCTGTTATTCCTGGTCCTGGCCTGCTTGGAGGCTTCCCAGGGTCGTGTGGTCCTCTTGGACCCGTGGTGGCCGGCTCAGCCGTGCTTTCCGGGGACTGCTTCCACGGTGTCCGAACCCGGAGGTTTTTTCCTCGGCTCCGCCTCTTCTGGAGATCGGGCCAGTCCGGTACGAGTCTGGTTTGCTCTTCTCCACGAGTCTTCGCATTTGGTGTTTTTGACTCGTGTTTCTCACCTTCCCTATGGTGAGCAGATGGCTTCTTTGTTGGTTTCTCACCTGCAGGTTCCTCTCGGCGGCAGTATGAAGTTTCCTGGCGGCTTCCGGTTCTTTTGGCCCTTCGTCGTTGTTCATCGTTTTCGGTTTGGGTGTTGTCCTTTCTCTCTTGGTTGTTCCAGGCCTGTCTTCTGCTGTCTAATACTGTCGCCTCGTATCGTCCAGCGCTGGCAGAGCCGCTGCTGCTAGCTTTCGGTATCGATGTTCCTTCTGCACCGTTTCGCAGTGCTCTTCTTCATGCTCTTCTCAGGCTGCAGTGGTTTTTTTTTGCTCCTATGGTCGTGGTCATAGGTTTGTTCGTCTGCAGCCATCTCCCTTTTTTTCTGGAGAAGAATGTGACTGCTGCTTTCCGGAGGGGTCCCTGGGTTGCTGTTGCTTGGGTTATCAGGCCGGGGGTTCACCTTGTGTTGTGTCTGGTTGCGGCCCTCCGCCGTTATCTGCGCGCCACGGCTTCTGTGTCCAGGGACGCGCTTTGGGTTTATCCAGTTTCCCTTCTTCCCTGTTCGCGGGTTCGGGTCTCAGGTACTCCGCGGGGTTATTAAATCTAGCCAGCCTGCGGTCTATCCCTGTGCCCATGACGTTCATAAGTTTGCTGCTCTAGCTGCCGTCTTCAGCGATAGGTCTTGGGCTGACATTCGGGCACAGGGTTTTTGGCGGTCCTGGCTGCGTGCTCCCTTGTGAACGTTGCTGGGCCCAGTCGGGCCTGTGTTGCTTTAGGTCAGTGAATGCAGCCTGTTGTCTTGACTTCGTGTTGAGGAGTGGAGCACCGACCGCCTCCAGGGTATGTCCCCTTGTTTTCTTAGGTAGTCATTGGTGAAGTATCTCCGGGAAGCCGTAGGAGCTCTTCCCCAGAAAACCAGCGTTGAATGTAATGAAATGCCATTTTCTGGGTGAGTCCCAGAGGCTCCCCGGCACCCTCCCGCCCTCCGGTTGGCGTTTTTTTCGCGATTTTGATATCCAGCCTCAGAACTGGGGCGGGGAATTGCCGGCGTGGGGGTCTGGGGCTTCCCCTTCCCCCTCCCAGGGAGAGGGGAGCTGTGCAGACATGCTGCACGGCTCATGTGACGTCATGCTTGTTTGTTCGTTTTTCTTGGGGAGTTCTGTCCACTCGTTTGTCGATTTTCGTTGTTAACCAGAATAGGGGTTTGTTTTGTGGTGCTTACCTTTCTGGGTGCTTGTCCCGGTCGATGGCAGATATAGAATGCTCCAAATCACATGTGCATTTCTATGGGCCATTGCTCCCCGTGCCTCTGTGAGGGGGCCAGGCTCTGGCTGATGGTCCCCGGTAGGCCTAGAACTCCATCCACATCGATTGATGCAAAATAGTTAGGGTATCCATATCAGCCATGGATAGCTTCGGAGAGCCGTAGGGGCTCCTCCCAGAAAAGTCATATGTGTATCTGTTCACAGCTTTAGGACTATACATTAATACTGTATATGGTATATCTCCAGTTTATGTATCAAATCTATTGCTTTCCAATTAATAATATGTGCAATGAAAAAAAAGTGCTTGGATAAGATTTTGTATAAGCCTTTCTGCATTGCAAGGTAGAAAAAGCTTACAAGAGAATGAACAAAGTAAAAATGATTTAAGTAGTGTGAAAAGCAACTTATTCTCTCATGAAAATCTAATGCTCATTTCTCAATTACCAGTTTATATTATTGACATTTTAAATGCACCATGGGGTTTTAGTAATTTACAAAAGAACATCTAGCCCCCTGAGAATGTCAAATTACTTCACAGAATATTTAATATTTACCAATGTTGTTTCTGTTTCTTTCAATGGCAGCTTTACGAGTCTCCTCTGCCAACTGGCTGATGTCAAAATCCCTTGCCTTCTTGCCGAAGCCAGAGAATCCCATGGTGTTTGCCATTTCCTCTGTGGGAGACAAATGTAATCAGTAAATAGTCTCTTAATAAAAATATTATATATATATATATATATATATATATATATATATATATATATATATATATATATATATATATATATATATATATATATGTCGTACCTAAGAGCCAGAACGCACTTCTCGGCCTACTATGCAAGGCCCGATTTGCCTAATAAGCCAAGTTTTCTTGAATTAATATATTTTCTCTATTTTTTTTCTTATGAAATGATAAAGCTACCCATTTCATTATATATGAGGTCAATTTTTTTATTGGAGTTAAAATTAACGTAGATATATGACCGAACCTAACCAACCTTACCTAACCTAACCTAACCTATCTTTTTAGGTTAGGTTAGGTTAGGTAGCAGAAAAAGTTAGGGTAGGTTAGGTTAGGTAGGTTAGGTAGTCGAAAAACAATTAATTCATGAAAACTTGGCTTATTAGGCAAATCGGGCCTTGCATAGTAGGCTGAGAAGTGCGTTCTGGCTACTAGGTACGACATATATATATATATATATATATATATATATATATATATATATATATATATATATATATATATATATATATATATATATATATATATTGTCCCATTGTTGTGTTCTTCAAGAGATCCATAACCTTTAAGCACCTTTTTGCATTATTATTTTTGTATCAACCCATGTATATCTTGTAACCATCAAATGCATAATAAAGCACAAAAAATATTCAAGGAAGGGGGTGGTAGGAGAAAAGCACACAGAAACTGTATTGGAAGGGATCTAAACATTCCCTCTAATGCGTTATGCGTGGTTTCCTCCGAGGCTATGGGTCCCCCTTCTTCCAGCTAGAGGTGGTACTCTTTTTAAAAAAAAAAAAAAATATATATATATATATATATATATATGTCGTACCTAGTAGCCAGAACGCACTTGTCAGCCTACTATGCAAGGCCCGATTTGCCTAATAAGCCAAGTTTTCATGAATTAATTGCTTTTCGACTACCTAACCTAACCTAACCTAACCTAACCTAACTTTTTCGGCTACCTAACCTAACCTAACCTATAAAGATAGGTTAGGTTAGGTTAGGTAGGGTTGGTTAGGTTCGGTCATATACCTACATTAATTTTAACTCCAATAAAAAAAATCGACCTCATACATAATGAAATGGGTAGCTTTATCATTTCATAAGAAAAAAATTTGAGAAAATATATTACTTCAGGAAAACTTGGCTTATTAGGCAAATCGGGCCTTGCATAGTAGGCTGAGAAGTGCGTTCTGGCTATTAGGTACGACATATATATATATATATATATATATATATATATATATATATATATATATAGATAGATAGATAGATAGATAGATAGATAGATAGATAGATAGATAGATAGATAGACAGTGGCAAATAGGACACTGGGATTTATTACAAACAAAATACAAATGCAAATATTTATTCAGGTAAAGTACATACATACAAGGTGAGATACAAAAGTTGGTGGATTTATAGATAGAGCTAGTACATACAATGCCTAAAGCCACTATTATGCAAAGCGTTTCGGGCAGGAAAAACACTAAGACTAAAACTTAATACTAATTGAGATTAAAGTATAAATTGTGTTGAGAAAAAATAAGAAAAAAAAAATGAAAGAAAGGGGGGGAGGGAAACATGGCAGAAAAAAAAAAAATACAATTTGGTCAACAAACAGCATTGTTTAAAATCGTTGACATGGGTTGACATTTAGGGGTGAGGTAGGTTACATTGAGTTAATTGGGTGGTACTTAGTTTTTATCTTAAAACTGGTTGGGAGAGGTACAGTCTTTAACATAATTGGGAAGGTCATTCCACATTCCACATTCGAGGTCCCTTGATTTGTAAAGCATTTCTAGTTTGACCAAGTCGTACTCTTGGAATATCAAATAGGTATTTGTTTCTGGTGTGGTGCTCATGGGATCTGTTACAACCTTCTAGGAAGCTTTTAAGGTCAGTACTGACATTACAGTTCAGCGTTTTATATATATAAAATACACATGAGAGGATTTGCAGTGACTTAATATCTAACATATTCAGAGATTTGAGTAAGGGTACCGAGTGATGTCTGAGGCCAGAGTTATATATTGTCCTAATACCAGCTTTGTGCTGAGTAATTAGACGTAAATGATTTTGGGTAGTTGAACCCCAAGCACAAATACCATAGCATAGCATTTATCAAAGCATTAGTAATAAGACACCTGATTACACACAGAAATCACAATAGCGTGATGCATCAAATGAACAAATCCACAAGGGCCGCATTCTGTGTGTAATGAAGTAAGAGCGAAGAGGTAGAACAGCCTATTGACGGAGCTCGAGTGTATGGGGAATTGCGTAAAATCCTGGTTTGTATCTCGGAGAGGCTGCAGGGTCCAAATAAGGGCAGTAGAACTTCTGATTGCAATTCTTTACCATGTCGTAGTGCAATCAATTAAGGCAGCGTCTGGGATGCTCTCGGACGTAGGTTCGAACCCTTGTCACGGCCCTTGTGGATTTGTTCATAAGACACCTGATGTTGTTCTTCAGCTATATCTTGCTCTGGTTGGGCTCCATTTATATTATGCAGTTTTGGTTTGTTTTGGTCGCCGTACTATAGAATGGATAAACATTCACTAGAACGCATCCAGCGTAGGATGACAAAGTTAATCCCCCAAATTAGAAACCTGTCACATGAAGAAAGATTGACAAAGCTTAAATTACATTCTCTAGAAAGGCGAAGAATTATGGGTGGTTATCTTGAGATGATTTCTGGGCTTTTTAGTGTCCCCGCGGCCCGGTCCTCGACCAGGCCTCTACCCCCAGGAAGCAGCCCGTGACAGCTGACTAACACCCAGGTACCTATTTTACTGCTAGGTAACAGGGGCATACGGTGAAAGAAACTCTGCCCATTGTTTCTTGCCGGCGCCTGGGATCGAACCCAGGATCACAAGTCCAGCGTGTTGTCCGCTCGGCCGACCGGCTCCCCGGTCGGGAGCCGGTCGGGGCTCGTAATAGAGGTGTATAAGTGGATGAATGGGCATAACAAAGGGGATATTAATAGGGAATTAAAAATATCAACACAAGACAGAACACGAAACAATGGGTAGAATTGGATAAATTTAGATTCAGGAAAAACCTGGGTAAATACTGGTTCGGTAACAGGGTTGTTGATTTGTGGAACCAATTACCGTGTAACATAATAGAAGTAGGGTTGTTGATTTATGGAACCAATTACCACGTAACATAATAGAAGTAGGATCCCTTGACTGTTTCAAGTGTAGGTTAGACATATATATGAATGAGATTGGGTGGATATAAATCGGAGCTGCCGTGTATGGGCCAATAGGCCTTCCGCAGTTACCTTTATTCTTATGTTCTTAAATCCAGCGTAAAAAAATCATCAGGATAAAGGGAGGGATCTATGACAAGCTACCAGCTTTCCATCCCCATTGAGGCCACTAAAGACAGGGTGGCCCTCAGGTAAATAAATATACAGAACCCCCATAAACACAATCAGCTATTGATATACCCGTACCTTCATTTTCTTCCTTGTCATTTTCTTCCTTGTCGTTTTTGACATTCTTCTCTGGCTGGATTTTGCCAAAAGACCCAAATCCTGTAATACTTGCTGTCTGCTCCTCAGCATCTTCAGCTGTGCATGGTGTTGTTGACAGTTCACTGATGGGTTTTGTGCTACCCAAGCTGAACCCAATTTTTCCGAAAGATATCTTCCCACGATTCATTTTGCTCTGCAAATAGGTAGAGATAATTATAAAGTACTGTACAGTAAATTGCTACTAAGCCTCATTATAAAAAACTTTCTAAATTAAATCAACACTCCTACGTTGGTAATTAGTTTATTCTGCTGCATAGCATTTGCTTTTATATTTTTGTATTCTATATTGTACAGCACTGTACTAAATATGGTATAGTATATTGCCAAGGGTTTTACACAATTTTTGTACCTGGATATGGTTCCCTGAGTTCTTCTACTCCCTAAGCCTGGCCTGGGGCCAAGCTTGACTTGTGAGGGCTTGGTTCAACAGAATGTTGCTTGGAGCAACCCACAGGCCCACATATTCACTACTGCCTGGCTTATCCAGCACTTATTGCAGTAAACTGTCCAGTTTTGTCTTGAAGATTCCACTTATGTTCTGGCAATATTTTTTATATTTGCTGGAAGGATATTGAACAACCATGGGCCTCTGATGTTCATACAGTGTTCTTTCTCTGATTGTGCCTATGCCACCTTTATTCTTCACTGGCTCTATTCTGAATTTCCTTACATATCATTTGCTCTAGTATGATGTTATCAGTATAAATTGTTATCGAACCAATCAACTTATCATTGAGGCAAGAAAACAAGTGAGTAATAAACTCCCAATTGTATTTTATTTTTTGTTCACTGCACACCCAAACCATATAAAATGAACCAGTAAAGAAATTTTTTGTGGTAGAAGTAAGGTTAATTTTACTGGATGTCTGGCAGACTGTGCATTTAATAATGCCAGAAATTGAATTAGTCTCATGATTTTCTAGAAAAAGCTTTGAAGCTTTTCTTGCAATTTTAAGGAAAGTACTATAGAGTATACAGTAATTTAAATCTTCCATGGGCTTTATGCAGCCAAATTTGTCAATCAACAAAATGATTCATGCGTTGATAAATTTAACAAAACATGCTGTGCTATGTCATTTAATGAAACTATTGTATCACATGAGTGAGATTCAATTATCTGTACGTGGAACAATTGTAAAATATTCATACAGTATATAATTCAATTACCAGAGGCACCAAGTTAAACAGTGATGGATATAAATAAATTGTTCTACTGTACTATAAAACCTTTACCAAATTTAGAGAAACCTCGGGTAACGAGCGGCTCCATCTACGAGCATTTCAGGTAAAGAGTGAGCTACTCGCAGAAAATTTGTCTCGACTGACGAGCTTTCGCTCGGTTAACAAGAAAACCATGTGGTGGGAACCATAGCGTTCCTGCTGGTTCTCACAAATTCTCGGATGCCTCTGATGATGTAAATCAATGAAATTTTTTATAAAAGATGCTAATGATACTGGGATGTAAAAGGGTGACTGCTGTAATGTTACAAAACATTGATTTTTTGTTTAGAAAAAAGAAAAAAGAAAAGATTAAAAAATTTGAAAAAAGAAAAAAATGTCAAAAGGTTTGTCAGGTAAACTGCTCCATTTTCTATGAAAAGTAAAAAAATACAAAAATAAAAAAAAAATTGAAAAAAATTAAAAAAAAAGTCAAAAAGGTTCGTTCATTTTATGTCAGGTAGGCTGCTCCATTTTCTATAAAAAAAATTTAATATCATATTGATGTTTTTCGGTGGTGGAATAGATTAATTTTATTTCCATTATTCTTAATGGGGAAATTCGTTTTGCAAGACGAGTGTTTCACATGACAAGCTCGGTGTCGGAACGGATTAAATTCATTTACCGAGACAGCACTGTATTACCTGATATTATAAAAACAGTTAGCCCTCACTTTATGTAAGTTTCATACAGTATCAGTAAAATTCACTATTCATGAAATAAGTATTGGGTTTGCTAATTTGTTCTTGTGTTTTATACATTTACAGTGGAACCTCTATTAACGAGTTTAATCCGTTCTGGCACCGAGCTCGTTACCTGGAAAACTCGTCTTTGGAAACAAATTTCCCCATTTAAAATAAAGGAAATAAATTTAATCCGTTCCACTCCCAAAAACATCCATACTTGTATGACTTTTTTTTATGTAAATATAATATTGCACATTTAAATATAAATGTTTTGTTGTAGTGTTTTAATATTTACTTTACCTTATGAAGAGTAGTTGCTGGCTTGAGGGAGACGATGGGGAGGTGGAAAGGATGAGAGGGTTATGGTGTGGAAGGAGAATCCACCTCTGAGTCAGGCGGACTCTCTGTTCTTGGGAATTTCACCCAAATTTCATTTCAAATGTCACACAAGGATGCGTTAGACCAGCACCAAATAAAAAACTACGTTGATTACACTCGTTGTGTCAACAATATAATAGTCTTACCACGAAGATACAATACAATGCCGTTTTCTCAAATAGGCAATGTGGTTATTAAAGAAAACGGAAATTTCATGGCAAACATTTATACAATCCCCAAGTCGATCGGATAAGAATTGGATTTTATAGAAATATTTGCTCAAATGACGCTTGAACGTGGTGTTTGGGTGCATTCAAGAGAAAAAAAGTGTGTTACGTTCAAGCAACATATACCTGCGAAAGTGATAACACTTTCATAAAGTGTTATCACAAAGTGATAAATTAATTAAACATTTTCACACACCGGGTTGTCACTGCTTTATCAGGACAGCTTTTCCAAGAATGCGTTCACCTTTTCAAACATTCCAAACACTTCCCTGATCTCAGTGGAAGAGGCAGCATCCTCCCTTACCTCCTCATTCCCTTACTAATGGTGTAAATTGTTGATGAGGACCTGCCATACTTCCTTGTGAGATCAATCACACAGACACCACACTCATGCTTTGCTATAATTTCCTTCTTTAAATCCACAGTAATTGTGTCTTTCTTCCTCTTGACAACACTATCTTTAGCAAGCAGCTTCTTTGGAGACATCATGTGTTACAAATTGTAGTCGCAAAACCACTAAAAACCCAAAGAAAAGCTCAAATAAATCCATAGGGATGCTTGTCGTGTGAGATACAACAACAACACTGGCGTCGGAGGCGTCCGAGAATTTGCGAGAACCCGCGAGACGCTAGGAAGCGCCATGTGGTTTCACTCGTTAATAGAGGCGAGCTCGTCAATAGAGACAAATTTGCTGCGAGTGGCTTGCTCGTTACTGGAAAAACTCGTTAATAGAGCCACTCGTTAATAGAGGTTCCACTGTATTAAGTTATATTCTTGTATCATGGAACCTTCCAAATGATATTGCATTTGTTGCACCTATGAAAAATGAAAGTACAGGTAATGTAATGTTTACTCTCACTTATGTCATTAGTGAGTGCTGACACTGCTTCATCAGTGAGGTAATTGAAGTCACTGCAGATACAACGTTTCCAAAAAGGTCTATTCGGAAGTTGGCATTTTTCCTATACATTTCTCTCTATGTACATGGGTATTTTTTATATTTGCAATGTAAACTGATAGTAAGGGGAGTCGCCCTATTTCCAAACCTGCTCGAAATTTAACCTAAACTAACCTACATAACCTGATCTAAAATAAATCCAGAAAAGTGTGTATTATTAATAATAATAATTGTCATTATTATTATTATAATAATAATAATTTTAATAATAATAATGATAATAATAATAATAATAATAATAATAATTCATTGTGTCGGGGGACAAGAAACCAAAGTGTATTCATACACGTTAGGCTTATATTGAGGCCCCACCCCCCCAAGGTTGAATTACTGACCCCGCCCAGGATGCAACCCCACAACAAGCTGACTAACTCCTGAGTACCTACTTACTGCTAGGTGAACAGGTGCATCAGGTGAAATTCAAACCTGAAATTCTCTATTGTGCATCGAAAATGAATCCGATTGTACTACCGGGACCCTAACAGATTATTATTATTATTATATTCTTGAATTAATTTCCATAATAAAAATACCTGGCAAGTATAATAAAATAATCATGTTTTACACTAATTTACATTTAGGACATTACAGTAATTTAATAAAATCAGTCATACTGACACGAGCTTGATATCCCTCGAATTCATCAGTATCCATGTACAGTACTAACAGGCAGTGGAAAGTTGTTAATTAACCATAAAATGAATGTGCTGTTTCTGCAGCCATCAAGATAGAGCATGCAACCAAATCCCTATGCACAAATCATTAAATCAATCTAACCTAACAAGAACAAAATTTAATCTTCTCCAGTCTTAACAAGCAACAGCAACAAAATTTAAACATTGTCATAACAAGAAACAACAAAGAAACCACTTAAAGACCTAATAAAAACAATATCATAACATGCAACCAAAACAACAATAATAATAATAAATAAAAAAAATGCTTTCTTCATAAGTCCAGGTAGTAGTCGTGTTCATTCTCGACTCACAGTAAAGAATTCTGGGTTCGAATCCCAGGTGGGACAGATATAGTTGGGCACATTTCCTATCACCTAACAGTAAGTAGGTACACAGGAGGTAGTCAGCTTGTTGTGGGGTTGAATCCTGAGTGGGGTCCATAATTCAATCTTGTGGGGAGGGGGAACACCTCAATATAAGCCTAACATGTATGAATGCACTCTGGCTGCCTGTCCCTCAACACAATGAATTATTATTAAATTATTATAAAAATATGCATGCTGTACAAAGAACATAAGACAGGTATATTTAAAGGTATGGGGATTGAACATTAAAATGAAGCCACTAATGTGCAAAGCATTTCAGGGAAAACTTAGATAAAATTCAGATAAAAATTAGGTATAATGGGGTAAACACTAAATAATAAATGAGAAGTAGAGCAATGTATATGAGATGCTCAAGATATATAACAAATGATATATAGTACAATATAAGGAGATGCTGGCCTCGGCCAGGCTCGGGGAGTAGAAGAACTCTCGAAACCCTCTCAGGTAAGCTCTAGATGCTTACTGATGACAGACAAACCATTTAACCATTTAATAATTTAATAAGCATATAAGACTTGAAAGGTATGATGAACGGCATACATTTTAATCAATAAAATTTAAGATAACAGTAAAACATAAAAATCTTTTTTCGACAGGGAAATGTGAGTGAGATTTGTTACACAAAGTTAAGTAGATTTATTTATTTATTTTTATTATAATACAAGAGTTCTTACATTCTTGTTAAGCCACTAGCACGCATAGCGTTTCGGGCGAGTCCTTAATAGATAGACAAAGTGGCCGCACTTACTGGGTGACAGTTATTACTAGTGGTCACTCAGACCATTACCATGCCAGGACCACCACTCCGTGTCCTCACACCAACACAAGAACCCTTCAGCGTAAGAAACAAGAGCAGCCCACCAAATTAAATACGTCACTCAACAAGAACAACAAAAACTGTAAACAATGTCTGAGTCGCTTAGTCACAGAATATTTTTAAGTAAGAGAGAGCAAGTTTAACTTATTTTGCCACAAAACATTTCATTTAGTTACAAATACTTGCATAAAAGAGTACATTTACTTAGTTTAAGGATTTTATGTTGGATTAAAGACGTTTGGAGATTTTCAGTTATTATTTTTTTTCAATTTAATCCTAAAGTTTTTCAGTTAAATAACAAAGTTTTTTTTCAGTTAAATACTAAAGTTTTTTCAGTTAAATCCTAAAGTTT